TGATTGGTCCATTGTTTGACAGGGAAGTTAATGCCATACTGTTATATTTGACCTTAATGCATATACAATAAAGTGAGTGAGTGAGTGTATGGATCCATGTTTGGTCACCCAGTGACACTGATCTGAAGAAGCCTGGCAAAGCAATAGATATTTCAGTACTTAATGTCAAGTAAATATTTTGATCCTATGAAGCCATAAATCATATAACCTAATTAGATTATATGAAATGCATGATTGAATATTGAAGAAATAAAAAGGATTCTGTCATCAGAATATGTAAGATTGTTACACTGTTCCCAAAGTATCATGAGGTTTATCTGTTATTCCAAGAACAGAAAGATAAAATTTGATAAAACAATAAAACATGACAAGATTAAAACAAAATATGCCCAAAATCAAACAAGACTAGATAAAAACTTAAATCATTCATTTCCCTAATTTATGCTTGTTTGATACGATCAATGGTACACATATAAAGATAGTCAATATTTGTCTCCATGGTATACTGGTCTTATCACACACTCAGCACAGAGATAGATGTACAATGTTAGCCTTTATAACGCTGCATGGCAGGCAGATACACAACGTATTAGTGACCAGGTCATAATACATATTCACAACAAATATGATCAAAGCAACTTGAAAGGAATCAGTACTTACTACTTAGACACCCACAAAGGTGTCTGGTGTTCAAATTGTTTACATTGTTGTCACACTAAATCAGTTTCATGACATTCGCTGTTTCATTTGGTAAGCTTGATATACAAATTACATGAAAAATCTGACCAAACATGGAATACTGACCCTTTGATGTGGCAAGATGATTAAATACACATAATGTATGTAAAAATGTTAAGATTTGTGAAACTGCATCATTTACTATAATGTCTGCATGAAGGTCTCTCATTCATGAGTAGGGACACCAAGTATTTCAGTGATATTCCAGATTGCTAGCATTCCATGGAAGGATACCATTGTGACAACCCAAAGAAGATACCATGCTCTTAATTCTCCCTGACCATGGCTGCTGACATGTCAAGGATCCTAGATGGGCTTTATCTGGGGTTTGAAGCAATGATCCTGTCAGCAAAGGGACACAACTCTTCTGCTCCAAAGGGACACAACTCTTCTGCTACACCACACAGCAATTATTCATGAATTATTTCATACATGAGCATACAACCACGTGCCACCATATGTGGTAATAAACATCCAATATGGAAGACAAATAATTCAAATGCTCGTTGTTTTGGATAAAAATCAACTCCACGCTGCAAAAAACTGGATATGACGAAAATAATATCGATGGATTATGGCAGAACCAATATTTTATTTTTTCTAAGGAACTGATGCCACTGTTGCCACTATTTGTTATTATGCAAAATTATAGAAATATATCAATGATCACATGGTTTAAGCCAGAAAAATTAACTTGATTTAGGTCTTGTTTATTCTTTTTCCAGAAACAACAGATTTTCACAATTCTCCATTACAGAATACATGATGTACGTGACACCTGAGCAGGGCTCCCAGAGCTCCAACATTCTGTCTATTGCTCTAGCAAACTGTACAGATCCAAGGCACAAGTTCAGACCTCAGCAGAATATACTTTATATAAGGAGTGAGTGAGTTTAGTTTTACGCCGCTTTTAGCAATATCACGGCGGGGGACACCAGAAATGGACTTCACACATTGTATCCGTGTGCGGAATCCAACCAGGGTCTTCGGCGTAACGAGCGAAAACTTTCACCACTAGGCTACCCCACCGTCCCTACTTTATATAAACTATTAATGTTAGGATAGAAGAAATCTTTAGAATGAGAAAAATTCCAGAATGTAATTTTTTCTGATAAAAATATTAGTCAATGTTTTGCTTCGTAACCTGTAAATAAATTTCTATGAACGAAGGTTACGACAGCTGTACTTTTGCTTAAGCTTGCTTCTGTTGGCAGTGTTACAAATACAAAGCAGTACTTGGCCCCTTGACGTATCTCATATACCAGTTTTTATTGATTAGCTTTTCTAATACGATTACTGGAACCCTTGCATCTTTAACCAGCATATTAAAGGAAAACCTGTAAGTCATATTTCTGATGACAGGTCAGAGGTCAGACAGCTCTTTTGTGATTGGTCACACTGATAAGTAATACCATCTGGTCCCAGGCAAATATAGATAACAGAAGCGTTATAAGCCGTAGTCACATTACCAGTCACTAAGTATTGTTCCCAATAAATACACGTAACAAACAATAAATATCATGTTACAATGCCACAGAAAAACCCTGTACTGTTGTACCTCTCCACCATCACAGATTGTCTACACAGCACTCCTCCAGCACCATACTAGGTCCTCCATTACCTGGGAATACACATCAAAGCTTCTGTGTGTTGTCACTATTTCCTGATATGTTACACTACACTGTATTATAAGTGTATAAACCTATCAATAACAAAAATAACCTGTATTGCCCTTAAGCCCATGTACATTTAATTCAAAAATATAATAGAGTTATTGATTTGACAATGATGACTTTGATATAGTACACAGATTTTCTGTAAAATATTTATCTACATTTAAAATTTAAAAACAATGGATACAGTTTTATAGCCTTTTAACAAAATGACACTGGTTTGTAATGAAATATCAGAAAACTCATTTCTAATTCAGTGAGGAAATGTCTGTATAGTGAGGCTATAGAAACCCTCTACTCCAGTGAGGTGAAACCAGTGAGTGCTCATACAAAAGAGTGATCAAATTACAGGAATGTTTCCATGACATTCCTCTGCCACCGATTCCATATCAGACATCGGTATGTCCGCAAAAACTTCAATCAGAGAGGAGAGCTCGACCTCCGGGGGTTATAACAGCCAAATGTATTTACAGTTGATACAGGAACATAGTGTATACAAGTCATAACGTACTAACAATGGTGTAACTGGGATGACTACAGCCAGGCAGGAAGGCATATAGAGTCATACAGTAACACAGCACTTGATGCAAGGCCAATATGAAACATGACATGTCACCTACAACACAAAATAAAACAATCTGTACAATTCAAACAGCAAGCTGCTCTCAAAACATATCATGTAACCCTAAATGGTTATGGTGCATAGTAAGCTGACAATGTTGTCTACCGAGGCTGCAGGTATTTGACAGGACTGTATATAAAGGATTGGTCCCACGAGTACAGGATGAGATTGCACAGATTAAAATCCACTTGAAGATATGACAGTGACACAAGATATGTCTGATGGTTATTGAATAAGGAGTACGACTGTTATCACATATTACTGCATCATATATTCTGATATATAGCATAGCCGTGAATGTTGAATATATCCCTCAATGATTCAAAACATATCACATGGTTTTAAAGTGAATGTAAGAAGGAAGAAGAGATGCAACATGGGCTGTGTTCCACAAACTAACCTTGATGCTAAGGTGATCAACTCCAACGCCTAACATTGACTTAGGATAGTCTTAGTGCTAGGTACACTAGTACTTAGTGGAACGCGGCCTTAGTCCTCAAGTGATGTTAGTTTCAATGACATTAGCAACACTGAATACAATTTCACAATAAATCACATGTGTTATGTCCTTTATTATTTCAACATGGATATGATTTATAGATAATTCCCAGGACGAGTCGTTGAACACAATGACAAAACTACATCATAATTACAATACTAGTTTACCCAGGTGAGTGATCCATAATTACAGGTGTTCCCTCTTTCATTATGGTGATGTTTTGTCTATCACAGTAAACTAGTATGTTGAACACAGCAAATTCAAGAGCAACTTACAATCTCTTGACTCATACAAGGTAAAACAAGATTCCTGTAATCTGGACACAATACAGACCACATGGACGGATCATCCCCCACTGTTATAACTTAAACTATATTACTAGATGTGCCAATCACAATACATGATGATATATGCACTTGAAAGAGATCATGTGAAGATGCACTTTAGAGTACAATAACTCTCGTATCCTTCCTTGTTGAAACCCAGCAGTGAAGCATAATGCATAGAGATGTGTCAGAAAATAATATAGACTAGGGGACCTTTTCAAACAGTAATCAGATCAATATATTCCCCATACAATAGCATCCATTCATTGGCTTTTCACAACATTTTGTTTGTTGTTTAACGCCGCACTCAGCAAAGTACATTAATATGAGCTAGCAAATGTTGCAATAAGCCTCATCAGCAATATTGCAGCTATTTGCAGCAAGAAAAATATGGAGTGAGTTTTGTGTAATGCCACTTTGAACATGATTCCAGTTACATCATGTCTGCTTAATGTGAAAGGAAGCCTGAAGAGATGCAATTCTCAGACAGCTATCGTAACTCTACTGTAATAGTTCAATTCCTCATGAACCCGAGTTCAATATAACAGATGACCGAATGGATTGGGTGGACATGTGACTTGATTGTGTACCATCATTGCATCATTGTAGCCTGACAGTGTTAATCATCACTGGATTGCCTGGTGTAGATTTGATTACTAGTATTTACACACCACCATCGTGCATCTGGAACACTGTGTGCAGCGTTAAACAACAAAATACAACCATTCTTACACCTCATCTGAGTGAGTGAGTGACTGAACATGTTGCAGGCACAGGCCTTGTCTTTGTGAGGATTAAAGATTTAAAAAAAAAAAAGATATAAAAATTTGAGATGACCCCGAAACCGAAATGCTTCACAGTACAATGACAAGGCCGGACACTTCGGTGTACCCCACCTTCCTGTTTGCCGATCGCTACGCTACCATCGCATGCAATCGTTTAAAACTTAATGTAAACAGAATCATGGATGACTGGCCTGTCAAGCACCACTCATGACACCTACCAATTCTTTATTGTTATTTCTGCCGACTGAAACCCGATTTTGACTCATAACTAAACGATCAAATGGATGACGATATATCCGCACAATACAGGGGTGTGGTGGAAGCAAGCCCTCTGGTTGGTTGATGCTTGTTAAGGAGACATTTACAACTGATGCTTTCTTTTGAGAAGCCATTGCTCGAAAAAAACATTTTTACATTTCCATGTCAAGCAGTCAATGAAAGTAAAAATTCCCGCAATTTTATAAAGAATGTGAAGATTTAAAAGCGTTGACCAATCACAGGGCTTGCTTCGACAACATCCCTGTTGTGTGCGGACATATCGTCATCCATTTCTGTCAAGATCGTTTAGTTTAGAGTCAAAATCCAGTATCTGTCGATTTGCAGAAATAACAATAAAGAATTGGTAGGTGTCATGAATGGTGCTCGATAGGCCAATCATCCATGATTATGTTTACATTAAGTTTTAAACAATTGCATGCAATGGTACCGTAGCGATTGGCAAAGCAGGCGGGTAGGGTGCACCGGAGTGTCTGGCCTTGTCATGATGTATTGTACTGTGAAGCTTTTTGAATTGGGGGTCATCTCAAAAACAATATTTTTTTCATCTCTAATCCTCGCAAAGACATGAGGGTTGCAGGTTGCAGGGTGGACTGGTCCGCTAGTCTGATATACAATGAGTCTATGTGTAGCCTTGGCCCACCCCACTCGATTATAATCTACAATGAATACTGGCAGTATGAGATACAGGTGAATACAACATGAGGACAGGCACATCCTACACAAACACTGGCATTATGTTAATGGAGGCCAGGACTTTTTAATGCTGTGGTTACATTGTTGATGACACCTGACAATGTTGGACTTGATATCGTGCTAAATTTGGATGACGATAAGATCGATGACGTTGTGTTGGCAACTGTTGTTGTCAATGTGGACAATGTTTGCATTGGCCTCTCTGTACTTTCATTGCTATTCAATCTATTAATAGCATCAATGGACCCGACTAAAGTTCTGCAACAAATTATAAGAAATATTTTAATATACGGACAGATTTCAAATACAGCAACACATCAAACAGACAACCAGAGTTACAGTGTTACGTTTTGAAAAAGGCACAGTCCAGTAAGCTGTGTAAATAAATACTTAAAAACTTACAGTTACGGAAACGTTGCCGAATGACAGGTTTATGACATGGAGGTGTTGATACAGGACATGGTGGTGTCAGTACAGGACATGGTGGTGTTGATACAGGACATGGTGGTGTCGTTACAGGACATGGTGGTATCAGTACAGGACATGGTGGGTGTCAGTACAGGACATGGTGGTGTCAGTACAGGACATGGTGGTGTCAGTACAGGACATGGTGGTGTTGGTACAGGACATGGTGGTGTCAGTACAGGACATGGTGGTGTCAGTACAGGACATGGTGGTGTCGGTACAGGACATGGTGGAGTCAGTACAGGACATGGTGGGTGTCAGTACAGGACATGGTGGTGTCGGTACAGGACATGGTGGTGTCAGTACAGGACATGGTGGTGTTGGTACAGGACATGGTGGAGTCGGAACAGGACATAGGACATGGTGGCAGTCAGTACAGGACATGGTGGTGTTGGTACAGGACATAGTGGTGTTGGTACAGGACATGGTGGAGTCAGTACAGGACATGGTGGTGTCAGTACAGTACAGGACATGGTGGTGTCAGTACAGGACATGGTGTGTCAGTACAGGACATGGTGGTGTGTCAGTACAGGACATGGTGGTGTCGGTACAGGACATGGTGGAGTCAGTACAGGACATGGTGGTGTATCAGTACAGGACATGGTGGTGTGTGGTACAGGACATGGTGGTGTCAGTACAGGACATGGTGGTACAGTACAGGACATGGTGGTGTCAGTACAGGACATGGTGGTGTTGGTACAGGACATGGTGGTGTCAGTACAGGACATGGTGGTGTCAGTACAGGACATGGTGGTGTTGGTACAGGACATGGTGGAGTCAGTACAGGACATGGTGGGTGTCAAGTACAGTACAGGACATGGTGGTATTGGTACAGGACATGGTGGTGTCGGTACAGGACATGGTGGTGTCAGTACAGGACATGGTGGTGTTGGTACAGGACATGGTGGAGTCAGTACAGGACATGGTGGTGTTGGTACAGGACATGGTGGTGTCAGTACAGGACATGGTGGTGTTGGTACAGGACATGGTGGTGTCAGTACAGGACATGGTGGTGTGGGTGGTACAGGACATGGTGGTGTTGGTACAGGACATGGTGGAGTCAGTACAGGACATGGAGGTGTTGATACAGGACATGGTGGTGTCAGAACAGGACATGGGTGGTGTTGGTACAGGACATGGTGGTGTCAGTACAGGACATTGAGGTGTTGGTACAGGACATGGTGGAGTCAGTACAGGACATGGTGGTGTCAGTACAGGACATGGAGGTGTTGATATAGGACATGGTGGAGTCAGTACAGGACAGGACATGGTGGGGTGTCAGTACAGGACATGGTGTTGGTACAGGACATGGTGGTGTCAGTACAGGACATGGTGGTGTTGGTACAGGACATGGTGGTGTTGGTACAGGACATGGAGGTGTTGATACAGGACATGGTGGGTGTCAGAACAGGACATGGTGGTGTCGGTACACAGGACATGGTGGTGTCAGTACAGGACACGGTGTTGTTGGTACAGGACATGGTGGTATTGAAGTACAGGACATGGTGGGTGTCAGTACAGGACATGGTGGGTGTCAGTACAGGGCCATGCCATACTGGTGGTGTCATTGGAGGTCATGATGCTACAAGTAAAGGTTACGGGTGATCTGGTGGAAACAGGACGAGGACTTTGTGAAACAGGGCTCAGTACAGGACATGGTGGGTGTCAGAAAGTACAGGACATGGTGGTGGTAAGAACAGGACATGGTGGTGTCGATACAGGACATGGTGGTGTCAGTAAGTACAGGAGCATGGTGGGTGTCAGTACAGGACATGGTGGTATCAGTACAGGACATGGTTGGTGTCAGTACAGGACATGGTGGAGTGTCAGTACAGGACATGGTGGTGTCATGGTACAGGACATGGTGGTGTCCAGTACAGTAAGTACAGGACATGGTGGTGTCAAGTACAGGACATGGTGGACATGGTGTCAGGACATGGTGGTAGTGTCAGTGTGGGTACAGGACATGGTGGTGTCAGTACAGGACATGGTGGTGTCAGTACAGGACATGGTGTCACACAGGACATGGTGGGTGTCAGTACAGGACATGGTGGGTGTCAGTACAGGACATGGTGTGGTGGTGTCAGGTACAGGACATGGTGTCAGTGGACATGGTGGTCAGTACAGGACATGGTGGAGTCGGTACAGGACATGGTGGGTGTCAGTACAGGACATGGTGGGTGTCAGTACAGGACATGGTGGACATAAGTGTCAGTACAGGACATGGTGGTGTCAAGTACAGGACATGGTGGGTGTAAGTACAGGACATGGTGGGTGGGTGTCAGTACAGGACATGGTGTTGTCAGGACATGGTGGTGTCGGACAGGACATGACATGGTGTCAGTACATGGTGGGGTGTCAGTACAGGACATGGTGGGTGTCAGTACAGGACATGGTGGAGTGTCAGTACAGGACATGGTGGGTGTCAGTACAGGACATGGTATAATGCAGGACATGGTGGTACAGGACATGTCATTATTGAGCATGGTGGTCGTTACAGTGTCAGTACAGGACACAGTAGAAAATGCGCTTGGTACAGGACATGCGGTGCAGGACATGATGGTGTCAGTGGACATGAGTAGTACAAGACATGGTGGGTGTCAGTACAGGACATGGTGGTGTCAGTACAGGACATGGTGGGTGTCAGGTACAGGACATGGTGGTGTCAGTACAGGACATGGTGGTGTTCGGTACAGGACAGTGGTATCAGTACAGGACATGGTGGAGCTAGTACAAGACATGGTGGGTGTCAGTACAGGACATGGTGGTGTTGGTACAGGACATGGTGGGTGTCAGTACAGGACACATTGTCGGTACAGGACATGCCATTACAGCTGTACTAAGGACTTACCCAATTACGCCAATGGCAATGAGTGCAATGTCTGTCAACTTCTGTGTCCATGATAGAGATCTGAAACACAGACATGGTTGAAGTTGATCAACAAAATCACAGTAAACATGTGAGTTGGGTATATTGCTGCCGAAAACAGTATCCTGGGATAGCAAGGCAATTTATTGTGGGCGCAAATATTGCGAGAGTAAGTTTGTGACACTATGGATACAGTTGGCTCTATGCCGTTGTCTATAGTTTTGAACTGAACTATTATAGTTGAAGCATGAGGATGCACAGAGATAAACCAAACATCATTACCTTTAGATGTAGAATTCAGGACTAACTTTCTGCTTTACTGGTAGTGGGTGGACTGACTGACTGAGTTTGGTTTTAAGCTGCTTTTAGCAATATTCCAGCAACATCACAGCGGGGGACACCAGAAAGGGGCTTCACACATTGTACCCATGTGGGGATTCGAACCTGGGTCTTCGGCGTGATGAGCCAACGCTTTAACCACTAGGCTACCCCACTGCCTCGGTAGTGGGTGGAAATCAAATCTATAATGACCTGTGAACGTCACTGAAAGTTCTCTACCATGGCTAACTGAGGGGAAACAAGTACCTTGATGTTTAGAGACTATTAAAATGGGTTGTTTATTTCTCAAACAGGTCACATTTCATTATCCATTCAGTGTGTTATTATCCATAATTCCATGCAGCAAAAAGAGGGATTTAAATTTATTTCCTTATATGTTGTTTCAATTCAATGACATGACTCAAAACATACCACAGGTGCATTGAGAGGCCAAACTAACATTTGCGATTATATGTTCATTGTCCCTGGGTATTATACTATTCACACTTTGCTAAGGATCAAATCACTGATTCCACAGAAAACTATGATGTGAGGTCTAATTTGGTTTAAATATCTAAGCTTATTATTAATTTTTGTTACCCTTAGCAAAGTGTGAGTAGTATAGTTTCTGTCACACCAGTTGCAACCTTGTTTCCACAGCTAATGTTTGCATAGTGATAGTGTAACCAGCATGAATTGCCTGTCTGGGGTGTAGCAAGATTTTGGAGTTTCTACTAGCATGGCACATGAAGAGTTAAATGCTGTACACTGAGCAACAGGTGCACATATGAAGCACTTCAACGTTTGCTGATGCCTGAGTCCAGACACAGACACCAGTGACCTATCATTTTGTGACTGCATTTACACGAACACAGAGGTTTATATGTGTTTGAAATATGCCAGCACATCATACATGGTTGACATGTTTCCATATTTTTTCAATAATAATTCCTGAAGTATACAGAAACTATTTCACAGATAGCTGATGTGGCGAGACATTACTTACTGGTTGAATATCCTGAGGTGGAAGATGCCGGGCAGGATGAAGGCCAGGAGGGTACAACAGCTGGCACCCACCAGGGCCATGAGGTTAGCGAAGTTGGGGATCATCATGACGACAACACCCGTACACAGCACCATACACGCTCGCAGGATGTTCTGAAAGTACAAGTGGGCGCAATCAATTCCAGGAGGCCATGGGAAATTATCTGAACAATTCCTAATACTAACCTGGGTCGCGATCCCCAAAGCATTCGTAGCATAAGCCTATGACAAACTATAGAGTTACGACAGGTCGTAACGTTACGATTGCTTTGTGGATCAGACTCTGATTCTGATTTTTTTCTTTTGGGTCCTGATTACATGATATAAGCCAGTGTATGAAATAAGCCAAAAATCCAGCCAGACATCATGGCTGGTAACTTCAAAATATGGCAAATTAACTCTGATGTATGGAACATCTAAAACTTTTACCAGACCATCGGGCTGGCTAGCTGTAAATTTAGACCATCCGTCAGAAATCTAGACCGTCTCGGTCGGTCGGACGGGCCTCATTTCATACACTGTATAAGCTGTTCTCAGGTTTCTAGCAGCAATGTAAATGTGAGATGAATTAACGTTGCATTCAAGATTACTGCACTTCAATAGCATTGTGCATGTACATATGTGAATGGGTGTGGCTGCATGTACTAGCAACGACCAGTTTACAGTGCTAGCCCTCTCATATACCATGATACAGTTTAAACATAGATACTTCTCTCTGTTTACTGACTCCAAGGCAACCAGTTCTTATTTCATCCCCTTAATGCCACGTGCCATAAAAACAAGCACAATCTTATAATATATTTTGGTATGATGTGGCCAAGGATCAAACCTCCACCATTCTGCTACCTGGCAGACACTTTATCCATTAGACTACAAAGACAGTCCAACAGTAAAGAGAGACAGTGGTTTACAATTTCCAGCTCACAATCTCAGCTGCAGTACCTTGCAGTAATTTCTTGCAAATGTTCATTCACAAATTAACTCGCCATTTTGGTCAGTCAACATAGCTGCGGGTATACCACAAGAAGTTTTTTAGAGTGTAGCAGGGCGTGGAGTCACCTCACAGATGACGTACTTACCATGTCAGCTTGGGCGCCAATGTAGGAGTCATAAAATTTTGAGTCCCATGCTTGGATTCGAACCACGGACCTTCTGATCCGAAGATGGACGTCTTGTCCACATGACCAAAGAGGTTAACCCCGTCAGTAAGCTGACATGGTATGGATGTCATCTATGAGATGACTCCATGCCCTGCTACACTGACAAGGTAAGGATGTCATCTATGAGATGACTCCATGCCCTGCTACACTGACAAGGTAAGGATGTCATCTATGAGATGACTCCATGCCCTGCTACACTGACAAGGTAAGGATGTCATCTATGAGATGACTCCATGCCCTGCTACACTGACAAGGTAAGGATGTCATCTATGAGATGACTCCACATCCTGCTACACTGACAAGGTAAGGATGTCATCTATGAGATGACTCCATGCCCTGCTACACTGACAAGGTAAGGATGTCATCTATGAGATGACTCCACATCCTGCTACACTGACAAGGTAAGGATGTCATCGATGAGATGACTCCATGCCCTGCTACACTGACAAGGTAAGGATGTCATCTATGAGATGACTCCATGCCCTGCTACACTGACAAGGTAAGGATGTCATCTATGAGATGACTCCATGCCCTGCTACACTGACAAGGTAAGGATGTCATCTATGAGATGACTCCATGCCCTGCTACACTGACAAGGTAAGGATGTCATCTATGAGATGACTCCACATCCTGCTACACTGACAAGGTAAGGATGTCATCTATGAGATGACTCCATGCCCTGCTACACTGACAAGGTAAGGATGTCATCTACGAGATGACTCCACATCCTGCTACACTGACAAGGTAAGGATGTCATCTATGAGATGACTCCATGCCCTGCTACACTGACAAGGTAAGGATGTCATCTATGAGATGACTCCATGCCCTGCTACACTGACAAGGTAAGGATGTCATCTATGAGATGACTCCACATCCTGCTACACTGACAAGGTAAGGATGTCATCTATGAGATGACTCCATGCCCTGCTACACTGACAAGGTAAGGATGTCATCTATGAGATGACTCCATGCCCTGCTACACTGACAAGGTAAGGATGTCATCTATGAGATGACTCCATGCCCTGCTACACTGACAAGGTAAGGATGTCATCTATGAGATGACTCCATGCCCTGCTACACTGACAAGGTAAGGATGTCATCTATGGGATGACTCCATGTATGCCCTGCTACACTGACAAGGTAAGGATGTCATCTATGAGATGACTCCATGCCCTGCTACACTGACAAGGTAAGGATGTCATCTATGAGATGACTCCATGCCCTGCTACACTGACAAGGTAAGGATGTCACCTATGAGATGACTCCATGCTCTGCTACAAGAGCATCCAGCTATCATGACTCCTGGAGTTTACCATCAACATATGACAGTCTTAGCACTACAGACACTTTGTTACACAGGACAGCCATTTTAACCATCTAATCACCTTGGCTTGTTGTAGCTTAAAAGAATGGTTACTAGGGACAACTTCTAGGTCAAGAAACAAGGAAAGACTAAATGACACACAGCTGAATGGTGAACTCACCCCTTTCCAATAGTTCTTATCTGCATCTGTGATTGTGTATCGCTCTAGGATCTTCATCACAGGAAACATCATCACTGAAACACACAACCAAACAGTTAGTCAGATCCCACAGGAGTAGATCTATCATAGACTGACTGACTGAGTTTGGTTTTACGCTGCTTTTAGCAATATTCCAGCAACATCACGGCGGGGGACACCAGAAAGGGGCTTCACACATTGTGCCCATGTGGGGATTCGAACCCGGGTCTTCGGCGTGACGAGCCAACGCTTTAACCATTAGGCTACCGCAACGCCCCAGATCTATCATAGAGCTGGGCATGACACTGTAGAGTATGTAATACTACATATGCATACTGCTCAGCCTACACCATGTCCATTAAGACTTCTGACATCTGATTGGTGAGAACAATATGTTGGTACTGGTATGCGATTTCATTCATTGATAAGGTATAACAAAACACTGCAGCCCTCTTGTAATCTAAATGTAGGAATCTGCTTTCTGCTCACCAGCTATTCTTACAATTATCTACAAATAAAGCAACGAACATGAGTAACTTTAATTAGGGCTACTTTAGAGTTCCTTTACAAAAATACACAAAGCTACTTTGTACATGGGTTACTATCCATAGGGAAGAATTTTTCTAAGAGCTACTAGCCACTTGTTGTACTTTCCACAAAAGTTCCTCTACACAGGGGCAAACTAGTCATAAGTGTTACTTTCAAAAAGGGCTGCTAACTCCCACATGGGCTACTATCTACTGGGGAGAAATTCTACAAGAGCTACTAGCCACTTGGGGAACTTCCCACAAGCGTTCCTTTACACAGGGGCAACTATCCACAAGAGCTTATTTAAAAAAGGCTACTATTCCCAAGTCTACTTTCTACATGTGCTACTATGCAATGGAGTGAATTTCTACAAAAGCTACTTTTCACAAAGTACTTTCTTCAGAGGCTACTATCCACAGATGATACTTTTGAAATTGGCTACTATCCACAAAGCTACTCTTATGACTTCAGTATACTTGACTACTATACACCATATCAAGAGGTCTACTCACCAGGATATGTACAGTACAAGGCTATACAGAGGAAGGACTTGACTATCATACTGAAGTCTATAGATTGACCTGAAACATGCTGGCTACTATATGCTATGTCTAGAGGGCTACTCACCAGGATATGTACAGTACAAGGCTATACAGAGGAAGGACTTGACTATCATACTGAAGTCTATAGATTGACCTGAAACACGCTGGCTACTATACTGCTATGTCTAGAGGGCTACTCACCAGGATATGTACAGTACAAGGCTATACAGAGGAAGGACTTGACTATCATACTGAAGTCTATAGATTGACCTGAAACACGCTGGCTACTATAATGCTGTGTCGCTATGTCTAGAGGGCTACTCACCAGGATATGTACAGTACAAGGCTATACAGAGGAAGGACTTGACTATCATACTGAAGTCTATAGATTGACCTGAAACACGCTGGCTACTATACTGCTATGTCTAGAGGGCTACTCACCAGGATATGTACAGTACAAGGCTATACAGAGGAAGGACTTGACTATCATACTGAAGTCTATAGATTGACCTGAAACACGCTGGCTACTATATGCTATGTCTAGAGGGCTACTATACGCTATGTCTAGAGGGCTACTCACCAGGATATGTACAGTACAAGGCTATACAGAGGAAGGACTTGACTATCATACTGAAGTCTATAGATTGACCTGAAACACAAACCAAACATCTGAGCACTGAGGAAACAGACACATCATCAAACTGATGCCACACATGTACGTTTGACATTAACTTCAACAACTTATTGATTATTACAGAGCATAAACACATTTTCATGGAAGGGTAATAACTCCATTGTGATGTCATTCTTACCTTTAGGTAAATTCAGGGTAATTATCTGATTTGTCTCTGGTCCAAACGACTGAAACATAAGGAGATAATGACAGGTACTGAAGCTCACTTTACATTTACAACAGTTGGTAAGGAGCAATTAGTGTAACACTGCATTGAAGATTTTAACACTTATATAGCAATGTGAGTGAGTGAGTGAGTTTGGTTTTACGCCGCTTTTAGCAATATTCCTGCAACATCACCAGAAATGGTCTCCACACATTGTACCCATGTTGGGAATCGAACCTGGGTCTTCGGCATGACAAGCGAATGCTTTGACCACTAGGCTACCCGACCGCCCTATATAGCAATGTGTATGCACGTATGAATGTGTGTGATTGCTTGCTCTACCCTAGACAGGTTTTGATAGTGCCTGTCAATGAAAATACCATGCCACAGTTTAACATGGATTCCACACTCAGACACATCATACCATGAACTGACCAGGCCTTATATTTCCTTAATGCGGAACACCAGGCAAGGTAACAAGGAAACATTTTTAATGTCTCATGCTATGATATGGCTATGGATTGAATGACAGGCAATGGTCTCTCTGCAGATGCTCTATACACCAGGCAGTGGAGTTGGTCCTAGGGCAGCGAGTGAGTCAGATTTTACACTGTTTCTGACTATACTCCAACTACTAAAACTCATCAGAATTTCCACGCAGAGATGAACTCGACAAGACAATTCTAAAGGCAGCCTCAGTGCTTCCAATGACATAAAGAGATTGCCCTGTTTGTACTGTCTGTGAAACTGATATACCGGTATTCAAATGAACACAGGTTTGATAGCAAATGGACATGGAATATCAGAACAAGCAGCACTGATGAATCAGAGTGGTGGATTTAGATTAACGCCGCTTTTTAGCAATATTCCAGCAATATCACAACAGGGAACACCAGATATGGGCTCCATGCATTGTGCCAATGTGGGGAATCAATCCTGGGTCTTCGGTGTGATGAGCGAACACTTTAACCACTTGGCTACCCCACCACCCCACTGATGAATCAGAATTGTACGTAAAGAAATATAACTCACCAAATACCCACACGCTCCAAAAGATATATATAGGGAGGTTACAATAACCATCGTTGTTATAAAAAATCTGAAATGTAAAAGTGCAAAAAAGAGTGGATAAAGTTTAGTCAATGTCAAGGACAGTTACATAATTAGTCATTTCAATACACCAAAAGGGAGGGTCGTCATTTTAAACTCATAAGATTTAACATCACGTGATCATTGCACCAAGATAGCATGTGTGTGTATGTCCCGTTAATTACATGGGCGCATTGCACAAAGTAAACTTAGCACTGCGATGTTTTACATCTTAGCCTTGGGATTGAACCCAGACATTACTTTCTCCAATCAGACACTGCATCCACTGGACCATAGAGAACTGACTGATTGAGTTTGGTTTTATGCTGCTTTTAGCAATATTCCAGCAACATCACGGTGGGGGACACCAGAAATGGGCTTCACACATTGTGCCCATGTGGGGATTCAAACCCGGGTCTTCTGTGTGACGAGCCAATGCTTTAACCACTAGGCTACCCCACGGCCCCTGACCATAGAGAAAGAGATGTTACATCCGATGGTATTATTCCAGGGAATCATTACAGTTCAATTGGTAAAATTCTTTAAAAGAGAGGTGACAGTACAGAGATCAATTCCTCAAAGACTGCTTACTTTCTAAATTTATGTCGGACCTCTACAGCTAACGAAGATTCCAGAGAAAGGATCATACCAGCACCCTGAAAGAAAACAGAAACCACGTGCGAGTAGGCCAGTCAGCGGGTAAATGTTGTCGAGTCAATATTCCAGCTGTATCGTTACAGCCCTGCAATCCTCTTTCAGTCACCTCATACAATCAAGAGACCCATTGTGTCCATCTGATATTCTTTCAATCACTTGACACAAAGAAGAGTAAGTGAGTGAGTTTGGTTTTACGCTGCTTTAAGCAATATTCCAGCAATATCATGGTGGGGGACACCAGAAATGGGCTTCACACATTGTACCCATGTGGGGAATCGAATCCGGGTCTTCGGCGAGACGAGCAAATGCTTTAACCACTAGGCTATCCCACCGCCCGACACAAAGAAGAGAACCACTGTGTACATCTGATATTTTTCAGTCACCACACAGCAGCAAGAGGCCCATCATCCTCAATAGTTCAGTGTGGAATATTTCCATTTTGTTAGGATTCACATCTCTTTCATATTTGCCACCATATGATATGGAAGTGGCATCCCCATTTGTACCTTCAGACGTCTCTCATTCACAAGAATAATTTAAACGACAAAGTACATAATACAGTGAGTTTAGTTTTATGCCGCTTTTCTCAATATTCCAGCAATAACACGGCGGGGGACACCAGAAATGGGCTTCACAGATTTGTACCCATGTGGGGAATTGAACCCGGGTCTTCAGCGTGACAAACGAATACTTTAACCACTAGGCTACCCCACCGCCCCCAACATAATGTGGAGATAGGACACAAATTATAAACAAAGACAGCTACCCATTGTGTCCATCAAGTTCTCTTTCTATCACGTCACACAAGCTAGCCAAGATACAACTAGGGAATGGTTGTTTTTTGTTGTTGTTTGATGTTCAACACTGCACTCCATATGGCAGCAACCTGTAAATAATCGAGTCTGGACCAGACAATCCAGTGATTGACATCATGAGCATCAATCTATGCAATTGGGATGCGATGACATGTGTCAACCAAGACCAGCCGATAGTCGCCTCATACGACAAACTGAAGACCAATCCTAACAGGATCTTCACGGGTACAAGTAGGGAGTACATACCTCATAACAGTAGATCGCTATGGCTAGGAAGAAGGGAAATCCTCGTATTGACATATTCTTCGGGTGAATCCTAAACAGACAAAGACAGACATTAGGATAATCTACACACAGCTGAAGCAGGAGCAGGTACACTGATGGCTGAAACAATATATGTGAGAATGAGTTGGGTATGAAGGCCCTTTGAACAATATCCCAAGTGTATCTGGCATGCCAGCTTCATGTGGGATGAGAACTTAAAGTGATGCATGTCTCAGATATGTACTGAAGTGAATGTGTATGGTGCTGACAAACCAAGAATCTTAATCGGGGAGAACCTGGATTCAAACCTGCGATTATAGCAACACAACTCTGCTGCAGATGTCTGGGTGACATGTGCCTCCAAAACTAAATGTGACCATGTTGTGAAACTAAATGTGGACATGTTGGAAAACTAAATGTGAACATGTTATGAAACGAAGTGTGAATATGATGTGAAACCAAGTGTGAACATGATGTGAAACTATGTGTGAACATGTGAAACTCAACGGCCCAGTTGATGTCAACAGGCATAAGTAAGGTGTGATCATGAAAGAGCTTTGTTTCTGAAATGGCAATAAAAACAGTAAAATCTGAACAAAGAGTGTTTAATGACATTATAGGGTATAGGAAGCCTAAAATGCTCCAGAATTAAGGTTCTGTAAGACTAAGAGGGCATGCCTTGTTAATGAAAGTACTTTCTATGCATTGTGTTAATATAACATGTATATCTAACTAGGGTGTCAACTGTATGTGTGAGGGGAAGTGGGTTGATTGTGGGATTTGAATCCACAACGTCCTGATGTAGACAAGGGACATAACTCTCCACAACAGTTGCTTGAGAGCAACAGAAAGTGAGTCAAGACAACATTATTATATTACTACTTAGGCTTCATGTTAGTATAGAAAATGAGGAATAAAGCAAAAATTAATCATGGAAAAATGCCCAAATATTGCATGAATTAGTCTTTTGCTATGAAAATGATAAAATAAAGTTACACGCAAAGATTTTTACTCTTGAGAAAATTTACAGATAATAGAATCCTGTACCTATAATCAGATATTTTTTAACTGTATGTTAGCAACCTAACATGTCCCACCAACAACCACCGCCACCACCACCACCACCACCACCATCGCAGTCAACAGAAAACTCATCAAACATGCACATGCTCTCTCCTTGTCATGGTTGGTTACAAACACTGACTACATGCCATAATTTTTTCTCTGTCATTCTCGTCAGTCCCTGCTGAATATGAACTAAACTTACATACGAGGGTTAGGAAAGATAATTCCATGTTCGCTAAACCTGCTACAGAGTTATCGTCTGCTTAATGGTGACAGTGGCAGTCACAAGGAAATGCCACTTGTCCTTCCTGAAAGTTACTAGTCTTGGACTAAACTTATGTTTTAGTATTCAATTTACTTCACATTACTTCATATTTCACTGTCTAAATACTACTTTCCGGACAGCTGAAGAATCTCCTTGCATAAGTTGAAGTCTATATTGGTATGTACAGGATGGATGTCTTCCATTTTTTAAGTACTTTTCTTCACAATATACAGACATACATTACTGGCACTCAGCTGATGGATATATATATATCATTTTGATATTGCATCCTCCATGTATACTGCTCTACAAATGTTAGAGAAAATACACACCGCAGTGGTGCATACACTGACTCAGTTACCATGGATAGTTAACAGAATGGAATGAACACATTTAGCTGCTTCATTTAAAATTAACATTTACCATTCTTGATTTTCACTATCATATATTCAGTCATTCCATTACGATAAATATCATGGACCCATTTGATATCGTGGCCTGTTTCGGAGTGACCTCCTCCCTATATCTTATCTCTCATGAGGTCGGAACCAATCAAACTTGGTCTACTGAATATCAGGCATAGGTCTACATATGGAATCGAATCATTGTCCGAGTAAGCCCTTGAAATATTAGAATAAAAACAAGCATTCAGATGAATATTGCAGTTTGATCAAAAATATTTCCAGTTAGGGCCAGACCAATTTTATTTCTTGTTTTACGGATTTTTGTCCTCAGAAAACCTAAATGCAGGAGTGAAAAAAATAAAAAATAAAAATCACCAAAGTAATATTCCTTTTATATATTAAAAGTATTTTATATTTGGTAATTTATGAAGTGTATATGGGTAAAAAAACAATGAAAACAATTTTCTTTTGTAAGTTTACATTTTTGGCCAATAAAAACATGAGGATTCTATTTTTTGAGTGGGGAAAATTAACTTATTTTTTTTCTTTCTTATTCTTGAAAAAATACGACCGGCAGATCCGTAAAACAAGAAATAAAATTGGTCTGGCCTAGAGGCATAATTCAATATGAACTAAGTATGAATGGTTCCAGAATATTTATCATGACAGATTGCTGATGTGAAGTCCTGGAAAATCAAGGATGGACATAAACGTGAATACACATGTAATGAGAAGAGAAAAAGTATGACACTGATGAGTATCCTTATCTAAAGTTGAACATCAAAGCCTTGGCGGGAGGATATGATCAGCTGCTAATGAAATACAAATGTATGTAATTGTAAATACTCAAATTGCTGTAAATGATCAGTTTAGGCTTAACTTAACAAGATAAATAAACCCTAATCACAAAGGTCCTGATAAGTTTACCATGTTGGATATTTTGTTTCTGTAAAACGCACCAAATATATCACTGATTAATCTGTAAGTGTTTGAGTACAAATACACGTAAAAGGTTTCAAACCCCCAATGGTATAAATCCACTAAAATTAGTAGACCACACTTACGACTTACTGTGATCCACGTGAGGCAGAGAACGGACATATACAATTTAGATATCACAAGAAGCAGCATTTTCAAGTGGAATCATCCGTCCACTAATGGGTTGAATGTTGTGAAAATACCCAATAGACTCGACCTAAAGGAGTAAATATATCCAATACCAACAGAAAACTATCAATATCTAATGTGAATGATAAACTTTCTTAGGCATTGAATATTTACTCACACGTTACCTGCAAAACTGAGTAACCATGGTAACTATTCATCGTAACTATCCATGCCAGCTATCAAAATTATTCTACAAACAAAGTATTATACAAACTACCATGCATCTAACAATTGAATCTCAAACAAAGATAGCTTCGAATACAACCCCATTCTCTTCCCACAGAGGTTACTTGTCATATCTTCCTACGAACCTCTGTTCTTATACGGCCATATTTCCCGGTTCTCGTAAAATCCCCTAGCGGCAAAAGATCGCAACACGAATTATCTCCCTTCTTTCTATCCAATCAGAACACGTGTTACATCGACTTAGATTCAACTTGACTAACACAAGCAAATGTGGGGACACAAATATCCCCCATCTGCCGGGGACTTGTGTTGATGTTACACACAAGACGTTTAATGGCTAGCTTGTCCGTTGTCAACGAGGGCGATGGAGACGCCACTGATCCGCCATAACATGACTGAGTTCTGTCTAGAAGAAACGTTTGCGCATCGCGTAGGGGAAGAAGTATAGTTTTCTCGAAGCATACGGAAATTACCGAGGCCTTGCGAATGATCACTTTTGAAACAACGTCGCTGATGGCACAACTAAATCTGATTGCCTCCAATCACAAGTCCTGAATGCTCACACCATGAAATGGCCGTATTAGAACAGAGGTTACATAGGAAGATATGACAGGAGTAACCTCTGTGGGAAGAGAATGATACAACCCAAGTCTATTGTGTTTACGCATGTTTCACAGAATTCATTAACTGTGGCAGCATTTCATTAAAACTATCCATGCCAGTTATCAAAAGTATTCTACAAACTAACATGCATCTAACAATTGAGTATCATGAACAAAAATGGTGTTAGCAAACAGTTCAAACGTACTGTGCTCAAGTTAAGATCTACGGCTCAACTGAATGAATACATGTTATTTTAATGGAAGAAAATCCATTTGAAAATCTGCATACGTTATATTGCTGCAGCTATACTGTGGTCAGTGCATTCCCAACACCTTTGTTTTCGGGACTTGAACTAGCTAGTGCTGCGAGGAGTTACCTCCCTTTAACATAACCCGACACCAGCGTCATAATGGGGATTTTACCTGAAGACCTCATCAAGACATTTGTGAGAGGGAACCATATGCCCATCCTCATTACAGTATCTGCAAATAGGACTTGGGCATTATAGGCAGTTGTTAGGGAAATACTGTTTTTATAATACAGTTGTTAGGGAAATACTGTTTTTATAATACAGTTTGTATCTATTGTTACATTCTGTCTGTGGTTTAACACCACACTCAGCAATATTCCAGTCATATATAATTGAGCTGGGGCTCCTTTCATGAGGCAACCTTACTAAGGTTAACCTTAACTCCCATTCTTTAACACTGCACTAAGGTTACCTTAGTGCTTTGTGAAAGGAGGCCCTGGACCAGACAATCCACTGACTGATCTTAGATCCACAATGTCAGAATCAGTCAGTGAGTGAATGATGTACAATTGTAAACTATTTACTTATATCTCAGCTGTCCATAAACAATTGAAATCTAAACCAAACAAACCAGTGATTGATAGCATAACCAATGAAGCATGACAACTGGGCCAAAATGTCATAAAATTGGATATGTCCATTGCCTGACCACCCAATCAAGGAAGCCCTAAATCCATTGAAGCTTGTGGTAATGTGAGGAATCAAACCAAGGTCTAAAGTGTCACAAATGGAACACCTCCCTGGCTAAGCCACCATCTTGATGTATGCAGCTGTATGAGAAAGCAGTATTTGTCTCCCTTGTTTAATTCTGTAGAATCATGGCCATTTGATCTTCTTAACCAATGTCCCACATCATCTCTTGCTCCTAGTGTTGCTTAGTACCCCTTGACAAAGCTTAACTTTCACTCTGAACAGCCACTTCATAACCATAAATGATCATTCTAATCTTACAAAAAGTCACTAAACAAACAATGGTGAAATGTGCAAATACTGGTTAACATTTAATTTGATTGGTTTGTTGCTAGATGCCACTCTCACTAATAGTCTACCTCTACGAGAGAGGTCTGTAAATATGGACCAAACAATCCAGTGACTGATATCATGAGCATCGATCTGTACAACTGGGATACAATGACATGAATCAACCAAGTCAACAAGTCTGACCACCCAATCTCCTTTGCCGCCTCTTTGAAGCATTGAAGAAGACCAATTCTGATCTTCAAGGGTCATTCGCTAAAAAATGGACTGTTTATATGGAGAATTAATGCCATTTTGGTCAACATTTAGTTGATATGACTACATTTAGTTTAGAGGAGCTCCCTAGTTCCAGATGGTCAAAGATATCAACTGCTTTGATGACATTTATGAATACTGACTTGGTTGTGATGGACCAGAGATTAAGACAACTAGGAAACAGCAACTGAGCCTGAAACTACAGACTTTCAACCCAAAACTAATATTCCAGCATTACAGGGATGTCAATCTGCATAACTACTTGCAGTGCCCTGGACGACAGACCCATGTGTTAGTTTTTATATTAAAGCTGTTGTGATTAAAGCTGTGCTGTCCATGCTATCGTAACAAGTATTACATGACCTTCAGTTCAAATACACACCTGGAAGAGCCAGCTGAAAACTAACAGAATTTAACAACAGAATCCATATGTAAAATCTTGAATTTGCAACCCTCAAGACTCAATGCCCATCTGAAACCAGATTTGCAGCATGATCACCCTAGCAGATGAGTTTTCTGTTAAATTGAAGAGCAATAAAAATGTTTTGGTAGACACGGTCATGAAGATGAGTGGATAGATTGTGAGATTGAAATTGAAATAACCAAAAAACATGTAAACAAAGCATAAAACAAAAAAGAATACTAACATGATGTTGCAATAACATACCCCGGAGTTAAACACTGTCCTCTCACATATGGAACACGAGGTACATTCTTATGGCGAGTTAACTGGTTGGCCCCCTAACTCAAAAGGAAACCTTTACGCTGCAACAAGTATTTGTTAATCCAGAGATTTGTCAATGCAGGCATTCTGATTTTTTGTTTTGTTTCTTGTTTAACACCCTGCTCAGCAATATACCGTAAATAATTGAGTCTGGACCAGACAATCCTGTGACTGACATCATGAGCATCGATCCACATAGGGATACAATGACATGTGTGAACTGAGTAATTAAATGTGATCACCAGATTCCATCACTCACCTGTAACATCATACATGCACGGCTCGATTTAAGAGATGTTAACCTACTTGCACCAGGTGCAACCTAAGCTAAAACCTAGTTGCACCAGCCAGATTTCAGTTGTACTGCTTTTATTATATTATGTAATGAAAGAAATATGCTACTGAATTATTTAGATGTTTTATTTAGTCGTTACCCACTCAAACATTGACTTGCACCTGGTGCAAGTTAGACTAATAACTAGGTTGCACTATGTAATACTGGGTTGCACCAGTGCAAATAACAAAGCACTGAAACAAGCCCTGACATTGGTTGCTGAAGAGCTGCAGGGTAAGTTAATATACTCATGTAGGGTATCACTGTACAGAGAGTTAGAGAGAGAGTCAATAGCATATCAGGGACATGAAAATAAGCTTCACAACATATACCCAGAGAGGTAGTGAAACTGTTAACTTCAGCCAGACAAGTTAATTTTTAACCACAAGGAACCCCAATCCCTCCACAAGAAAAGAATCAAAACCAAAGAAATAAACAAGAATATGACAGAGGACAGTGAAACTTCAGTGAAACGAAAACTGTAGTACACCCAGCCTAAATGTCGGTTACATGGGTACAACGTGTACAACAGCCTGGTCCAAGGGAGATAATTTGTTAGTATACCTAGTGTGACAATGGAGCAGGATCTCGAAAGTGACATAGCATCTACAGAACAAACATAGTAACTACAGTGCACGCTCACAGACCTGGGTTAAGGTAAAAATCACTAAGAATCATGAAAATTGAATAACTCAATAAATATATACATATTATCTCTTATATGATAAATTTAAATATGAAAATTTAATATCTTGTAGGGATGTTCCCTAAAGATCACTAAAGTACTGTCGGAAACGCTAGAAAAATGCTTTTTGACTTTTATTTAAAAATCAGAGATATTACAGTTAATTAAATAACAAATATCACTTTAAGAAACATCTACCTAATGTAGACCGAGGGAATAAATTTTGAGACATGCCCTGAAATGTGTTTTTTACATATGAAAATATCAGAAACTTGGGGTAGTGGAACATTATTTGATACAAACATTAACTGCCTGTGTTATGTCATCAGCATGCACGGTATCGACAGGTGAAATTGACACCTGAGCACAAGCTAGGGTGAGGGGTCATCTCAATACATTGTTTTCTTCATAATGTTGAATATGTGTACGTATAGTATACGTATAGTATTACATATAGTATTTTGCACACCAACGTGTGTGTGTTTGTTTAGAAATAAACATACAAATTATTGTGCATGAGAAAGAATCCCATCACTTGTGTTATTTTTTCGATTGATTGTAGAAATGTGCAACATTTTAATAAATGTTTTGCATGTCAACAGTATATTTCTTCTAAAAAATATGGATGTAATTCGGTCAACTTAATCCAGTTGTGAACATTGTCAAAGATTTAACGAAGTCACTGGTATAGCTACTTTAGAACAGATATATTGTCAGCGATGAGATCTGGCTTTGTCGAAGTAGAAACGGATGAGCAATGATAACTTTTTATCTTGTTGCTTATTTGCTGGAGAGTCAGTGCATGAAAATAATCAATTATTCAAAGTAAATTTATGATGGCTGAGTGAACGAGACTTAAACTTGATGCAAGTACAAATTTTATTCAACTATAACAGACATTGGAATGAAGACCAGTAGAACAATTAATCCGAACTGACGAGTCCTCATGCAATGGGATCACAACAGGTGTCACAACACTGATGTCCACTCCGTCACGTTGATGGTATTGGCGTTCAATGTCAAGGACGTGGTCCTCTGCCTTCTGCCACACTTCAGGGGTTATCCTGCTAAACGATGCATGGATCAACTCCTTCACTTGCGAGAGTTTGAAGGTAGTGTTGTTCCTCGCAACCAACCCGTTACAGTTTGCCCAGACAAGTTCGATTGAGTTCAGTTCACAATGTCTCACAGGTGAACGTAACACAACGTGACCGTGTTGAGCAGCCAGCACATCGGCCCTGTACTGAATGGGCTTCCTGTTCATGCGGATCTCCTCCAACAGCTGTATCTTTGTGTCTGCTGGTCTGTAGTGAACACCACACGATGTGAGGAAATCCTGCATCGTCTTCTTCAGGCTACTCATTGTCGGTGTGATGCTGCATGGTTCCCGCACATTATGGTAGCTGGCATTGTCCATCACTATGACAGTGGGCTGATAAAGATTGGGCAAAAGCTGATGTTCCATCCAATCCATGAAGACATCTCCGTTCATCTCCTGATGGTAATCTCCACTCGATTTCTTTGCCTCAAAGACAAACTCGCAACCGTCGATCAAACCTGTGTCCCGGCTTCCTGCATGAAGTACAATCATTCGGTTGCCCTTCCCAGATGGTACCACGGGGGTCTGTGGGTAACCACATATAGACAGTAGAATGGTTCTTGTTGACCCAAGTTTCATCCAGGTAAACTATCTGGAAGCCAAGGGCACGGTACTCTGCCACAGTTCTCAAGTAAGAGGATCTCATGGACACAATAGAGTACTTCTCCCTGAATACAACTCTGTCATCACCACGGGCTTTGTACTTGAACCCCATCTCATGGAGGGCAATGATGAGGGTGGTTTTGGAGACGTTGATACTGTCCTTAATTTCCTCTCTGATACTCCTACATGTAGGTGGAATCTTCTTCTCATAAAGTTTGTAGACCACCTGTCTAATCACTCCCTTGTCAAAGTTGTCAAGGATGTACTATTACATCCCGGTTTTGCTTTTGAGACGGTCCCTGTCTTGTCTGATTTGTTTACAATATTGTAAACTTGTTGGTAAGACATACCAACAGCTCTACAAATTCTGTAATAAACCCTCTCTAAACTAATGAAAGGTTTACCTCTGTCTTTCTCAAACACAAAATAACTTATAAACCTTTGCAACAATCAACTGCAAATCGTTGGCCATAGTGAACGCTGTGATAAAGATATGCATGCATGACGGGAAACTTATTTCTTAAGACGTAACATTTATCTTCATTTCTCTTCAATGAAGAAACGATAATTAAGAGAAGTAGCACAAACACTCAACATTTATTTGTTTAAGAAAAACGTTTATTATGTTTGCACCACCTGTATTATTACCATAAATTTAAAGACTATTTCAGATTTCTCATGTTAAACTCTGAAAAAATCTTGAGTTGTTGTTTTGGTACCAAATTCTCTCCTGTAAATTGCCCTTTAAATGCATGGGAATGTTAAATCGATTGAAATAAAATGTAGGTACAGTATAGGCGAGTTGATATATTGACAACATAATACATTCATCACCTTTATCAAAGCATTAAGGCTAAAAAACATTTTTCTAGCATTTCCGACAGTACTTTAGTTTAGATTCCTAAGGAAATCGAGTGAACTTTCATTAGGTACATGTATGTTGAAAGGATAAAAATACTCTTGACCACTTCTCCACACCTGCTGGTTAACATGATCCTACAGACAAATTAATATGGAAGAAATGGATATAGTAATACGTTAATTAGGTAGAGACAGACATGGATTTTTTACTTGAGTATTCATAAGACTAAATGTTTCAAGATACTTCCTGCTCCTGTAGATGAATAAGTTAGTTCTCTGATTAAAGGGCACACACTACCCCAAGCCAAGTACACATATATCTCTTTACATCATGAACACAACAACCTCCTGTCCAAACTAAAAATTACATCTGTGATAGAATCTTCAATAACTTTACTAATAACTATTTATTTAAGTTCGTATGAAGTCTAATGTCAAGCCAGCAATATGATGCAGGCATCTAAAAAATAGTCTGGACCAAACAACCATGGTATAGTGATTTGCAATGATCCAAGACAGTAAGCCTGTGTCTTGATCCATTAAGCATTCATAGTGTTAGATATATTTTATTGATATAAAGTATTTCATAGGCTTACGAATGACGTAATGCTACAAACACAATATGGAACGGGCCCATAACACTAGAACCATCTTATCTCAGATCTTTTCGGAACCGGAATCCGCAAAACAATTAAATATTTCTAGACTCGCCCACCAAATATACTGATTATGGAATACACATAATATCTGCCTCTAACAAAGTTCTCTCAATCTGTGGCACAGACATCTAAGATCTATCATCAGTAATTGTAAATACAGTGGAGGCTGTCAAAACCGGCAGTTGTCCAATCCGACAAGTTGTCAACACCAGCATAAAATCTCAGTCTCTTGGCATGAAATGAGCCGCCCGAATGTGGGTTTATGCTGTAATCAGCGCCGTCTAATCCGGTGCGTGGCGAGGATTCGGCTGGATGTGTATTGTGATAGAACAATGTATATGAGATGACAAAACTTGTTCACTTCTAATCGGAGGTAACCGTGTCATCTGTACAATACGGCATGCTGTCTAAACCGGATTATTTCTTTAGTCCTGACGAGTGCCGGTTTAGACAGCTTCCACTGTATCCTTGATAAGGGCTACTCAGTGTCTATCAACAGCCACAATAATGTATCAGTGGAAGGCCACATCCAAAGCTATTATCCCAACAACTGCTGTTTGTGAGGCATGTTTCAATTTTCTTAAGTTCTATCAAACCAAAATGATAACAATGCGAGCCAAAAACAAAACAAAAACACTTCACCATTTATAAAGATTTCCCACACAAGTTCTTTTAATTAATTGGAATTAGTTGTCAAAATCTTTTAACCAGATGAAATAATGTTAACCAATAAATACTTTTAAGCTAGGAATTAATCTAAGGAGAAAGTATATAATGAACCTTGTTCTATGTTATTCATGTAAACAAATCATGAAAATCCAGTGACCAAATGAAAAGGTGTGGGCACATAACATTTCACCATAAAGGTAAAACAGTTGATGCATTCATCCTCAACAGCTTGGAAAACAACAGAACAACCAAATAATGTCATCATTTTGAATCATTTTACAACATAGACAAGCACTAAATGTCATAAATTTATAAGTAGAAAAACTGTCAAAAAGCAGTGTTAGTCTTGAAATATATAGAAAGAGTAAGCAGTTAGTATTCGATTATTTGTACATTTACAAATCCAATAGTCACTCAATAAATTGTACATTCATTATTTCTAGGTTACGTTTCTATCACTGGCTCTTTGCAACATACAATGCAACACCAGGTTTCTAATTATGCTACTCCTAGACGACAAGACGAACATGCCACAAGAACAAGACAAGGGAGATCACTCACTCTATGTTGTTCAGATGTTCAAAGTCAAACCAGAACACTACAGCAAATGCCATAAGGTTAGAGCACTGAGCCATCAAGCTGAAAATAGACACACATTTTCAGATTAGGAAAGCAATACTTCTTATAATCTACTCATTTGCAGGATTCCAGCCACATCATGGTGGGAGAATGAAAAAGGTCTTACGCATGTGGGTAATCAAATCTGGATGATGATTCATGCATAATTCAGAGTTAGATCAGATATTTACGCATATAAATGAAAAAAAACCCTACCTTTTTGTAAGCAAACAGACTCCACATACATAATGGATGTAATCCCACTTAGATACAAAGAGGTATCAAAACGTTTGATTCTAGCATATACAGTCAAATCCCGATGAGTCGAATCGCTGGGGACCAAGTAATAAATTCGACTTATCGATGTATTCGAGACATAAGTATGCCTATGAGGGTAGAAAAAAGATGATCCAGTCCTAATTTCTCCGCCTAAGCATTTGTTAACTAATGATTTCCATATAACTAATAGGGGCACCTTATCAGTTCCAGTCTGATTAGCACTAATCTGCCTTTTGAACTCACCCGTCAATGACGGAAAGGTGTGAGCCGCGCTGGTTTGTTAATTGGATCAGTTTGCTACACCAATCAACTTCTCATTGACTGACTTCGGCTTATGTATACAAGATTGCTGTTGTTTGAATCTCATGGGACCAAATTCCTTTTCGAGTCATCGTGTGTATTTATGAGGCAATTAGTGTAACGGTATTCAAATGATGATAACTATAACAGGAATTGGTCGGGACCGACAGGTACTTCGAGTTATGCATAATATTCGAGACACCGGCATTCGACTCATCGGGATTTGACTGTATAAGCAAATATATTGTAATCATTTTGTAAAACTTCGTCTTACTGCAGTTCGATACACATTCCACCCTTTCTCCAGCGCACGTATCCTGGTTTTATAGAAAGTCAGATCCTGGGGTACAGAATGGTGTCATGCTATGGTGAAGGGTACAGGATGGTGTCATGCTGCGGTGAAGGGTACAGGATGGTGTCATGCTGTGGTGAAGACTTCACTACCACACCTCATCCTCATCATATGATTGTGATACCAGTGCAATACTTTCATTTCAAAAGTTCACATTCTCACCCTTTTCTAGGTGCATCACAACCCTCAATCTTTTGTTTTGAATTTCAGACAGCAAAAATGGCACATAGTAGGGAAGAAACATGCAAGCTTGGAAGCAATGTACAGATTCTGCTATTAATGACAGCTAATACTAGGGGATCTACAAATACTGGTTCTCGAACAGTTTCTGTTTTGACATGTCATCACGAGGTGGGCTTACACCCAGACATGGGCCTACAACAAAAAATCCCACCTGGATATAGAGAGGCTGGAAAGATGGCGCAGCAGGGTGAGCAGGCACAGAGTGACAACAGTATCAGCAGCCAGTGGCCTCTGCAACACAAACATCAAACATCCACAAAATTACAAGGACTGATACCCCCAACTTTATGTAATTTTTGAGTAAAATTGATATTTTATACTTATCCTGACTCATGCTCTTTGCTTGTCTCCTTCCTCTTGCTAACATAGTGGAACACTTGTATCTCCCTAATTGAAGTTCCTTTCAATGTAAAATCACTAATTAGTACACCACGAAGTTACCTCCCTTCCACAAGCTGAACGAGGGCTTCACCTCTACCCATGTGCCTCACTCTCTCCTCATATACTGAGCCCAACATTTGAATTTACAGGGAAATCCAAAGTGTTATTTGGGAGGATGGGAGGGTTGATTCTATGAGTCAGGATAAGTATAAAATATCAATTTTACTCAAAAAATTACATATTTTCCTTATCCTGACTCATGCTCTTTGCTTGTAGAATCCAACAGAGCCGGAGGTGGGAATATATAATACTTTGGATTTTAATAATTAGTGATTTGAACTGTGATGATTGTAATAACCCTATGAGAACTTCATAAAGGCATTGAACTGATGAATTCCTGCTGCCAGCTTATCAGCTGCCATATAGAGGTTATTACAATGTACTTATTATGATAAGTATATATAATATTAATACAATGCTTAAGACTAATAGACTTAAGCTTGTTAATATGCTAGTATAAACTCCTTAGAGTTTGTTAGCTAAAATACTTTAAGATATAAACATAGCACTAAGCTTAAAATATGATTAATTTTAAGCTAATTATATAATAACAAACCCTTTAGGGTTTGTTAGTTAAAATATTTATATGATATAGACAGTGCTGAGCTTAAGATATGAATAAGCTTAGCTATATATATAACAGCAAACTTTGTAGAGTTTGTTAGCTAATACATTTTACAATATGAGTATAGTATTGTGCTTAAGATATAATTATCTTAAGCTACATATATAATAGCCAAACTTAGTAGAGTTTGTTAGCTAATATATTTTTACAATATGAGTATAATACTGTGCTTAAGATATAATTAACTTAAGCTACATATATAATAGCCAAACTTAGTATAGTTTGTTAGCTAATATATTTTACAATATGAGTATAGTACTGTGCTTAAGATATAATTAACTTAAGCTACATATATAATAGCCAAACTTAGTAAAGTTTGTTAGCTAATATATTTTTACAATATGAGTATAGTACTGTGCTTAAGATATAATTAACTTAAGCTACATATATAATAGCCAAACTTAGTAAAGTTTGTTAGCTAATATATTTTACAATATGAGTATAGTACTGTGCTTAAGATATAATTAACTTAAGCTACATATACAATAGCCAAAAACTCTGTAGAGCTTATTAGCTAATAGATTTATAATGTAACCATAGTACTAAGCTTAAGATATGATTAGACTTAAGCTAAATGTATATAGCAAAAACTCCTTAGAGTTTATTAACTAATATACTTTTATGTTATAAACATAGTACTGAGCTTAAGATATGATTAAACTTAAGCTATATATATATAATAGTAAAACTCCGTGAGAGTTTGATAGCTAATACATTTTATTATGTTGATTTAGACCTAGTATTGAGCTTAAGATATGAAGTAAACCTTAAGCTAAATATATAATAGCAAAAACCTTTTAGAGTTTTAATAGCTAATATACTTATATGGTATCAACATAGTATTGAGCTTAAGATATGAAGAAACCTTAAGCTACATATGTATAGCAAAACTCCGTAGAGTTTGTTAGCTAATACATGATATAATGTAACCATAAAGCTTAAAATATGATGAAAACTTAAGCCCAATATATAATAGCAAAAACTCTTTTTAGAGTTTTGATAGCTAATATACCTATATGCTATAAACATAGTACTTGCGCTTTAAGATATGAATAAGCTTTAAGTTACATATATAATAGCAAAAACTCCATAGAGTTTGTTAGCTAATACATGTTATAATGTAACCATATTGCTTAAGATATGATGAAACTTAAGCCAAATAGCAAAAGCTCTTTAGAGTTTGTTAGCTAATATAGTTATATGATATAAACATAGTACTTGAGCTTAAGATATGAATGAGCTTAAGCTACCTATATAATAGCAAAACTCCGTGAGAGTTTGTTAGCTAATGTATTTTTACAATATGAGTATAGTACTATGCTTAAAATATACTTGACTTAAGCTACGATATAATAGCCAAAAAACTCTGTAGAGTTTGTTAGCTAATGCATTTATCATGTAACCACTGTGATGATAAAAACGAGCTTAAGCAAATTATATATAGCATGAAGCTATTTAGTACTGTTATAAGATAAGTAAAAATCTGTAAGATTGACTTATCTTCTCCGAGGAACTGTCAACTGTTGTGCAAGGACCATGGGATCGAATTGGTGGATACCTGAGATGTCCTCGGTGGTGATATCTCTCAGATAATGGTTGGCAACCACCATATCGATCTACAGTAATAAACCCTCCATTATTTCAAATAACATTTGTGTAGATGAAATTGTAGAAGTTAGGGCTCTAATATCAAGAG